AAAATTGTTGTTTGTAAAACATATTGTATTGATTGTTTCATTGTATAAAGAGGGCATGTTCTAATATTTGTCTCCAATTCTATAACGAATAAACTTTTTTTTATAAAATTTACGTAAACTAATATGAGAATAGTATTATCAATTTATCAATATACACCAGAATTTAATTATTATAACATATCTGGAAATAAAAAGAGGATATCAACCTTGTTATATATAAACTAGCATAACATGTAGATTCTATTATATCTAACATTATACGGCAAAATATCGATCAGAAGTGAATAAATATTAACTACTTTAGAAAGCTGGCATATGATTTTATACCGTTTAAATAATGGCTATAGAGCATTAAGGTGGTTGCTACCTGAAGAAAATACAGCTAAATGTAAAAAAAATATGTCATAAAAAGTAGTAAACTGTGAACAAAGTAGTACTTTGACTTCCATACAAAATACTAAATCACCTAAAATATACTAATTGCCCCAAAAAAGCCACTGTATCAGTGAATTAAAGTAGTGTGTGTCACCTTGATCTCTCTGAAACGGAAACATTACTGACAAATGCAGAACCACCAAAGAAGGTTGGGAAATAATTGTTCGAATATGTTTCGTTATTTTAAGTATGGTAGATTTGTTTCATCCTAAAGCGCGAAATTTTAATTGAATCATTTTTGAAACTTTTCTTACGCATGTGTACGAACTGTTCCAAATCTTTCCGAGGAGTTCCTTTCATATTGTAACAGTGTCAAGGTGTATCAATAACTTCACCTACCATATTTGTAGACGCATTTTCCAAAAATCGGGATAGGGAATTATCTCGAGAGCAAATATTACTCACAACGAATAGTGGGATATTGCAGGCTCCTTTTAATTGTATATGCTAGATAATAAAAAGTTCAACAGCCCTATAGTCCCAAGAAATTTCAAGCGGGACTCAATCCTAAACATTAAAAGTATTGATAAATGTGACAACAATGAGATCAAGGTAGGATCAACAGTTGCTATACAGCATTTAACATCTGAACAAGTGTGTACATGCTCAAATCTTGAATTGAACTTCACAAAAATTTTCATTCTGTCTAAACCAACAGCTCAGTTACAACCAAAATATGTGTTACCCAAGCGGTTTTACCATGAGAGGTTGCACTGTATGCTAGATTCATTAATTACGAATTCATTAATGAGAGTGGATCTTTAAACAATATTTTATTTATAAGCATTACATTTACATGATAATTGACAAATAATAAATAGTACGGATTGAGTAGGAAGCTTGGAAAGCTTTTTTAGAAACTCTTTCCGTAATCACATTCTCAAAGAGTATGTAAAATGGTAATAATTATATGCATTTTGTGTTAAATATACATAACATTTTCACTATAAACATGCTTTTTACATGTACAAGAAAGTTAGCAATTTGAACTCAGGTTTTCCTAATCGAAACGACCTTAATAATAAAATATAGACATAAACAAGAACCGGTTGAACCGGGTGATTCTCCCCGAGAAGGTTCTGGACACAGGAAAGTATAAAAAATGAACAAAAGCAAAAACTCCAAGGCGGAGTTATGTTTTTTTTGCACCGCACTTCTATTTAATGAGATCTATCTATCTATAAAGTTTCCTGATGATTTCAGAGTTACGTCCCGGGTAAAATTCAAAGTGTAAAAATTAACAAAGGGCAATAACTCCAAAATTAGACCAGGCTTTGTTTAGGTTCTTTAAGCATTGCAGTTCTATCCAATGATTTCTAGCTACCTACAAAGTTTCATGTTGATAATCTCTAATAGTTTTAAAGTTATGTCCCGCACAAAAGATACACAAAGGGCAATAACTTCAAAATAAGGCAAGGCAGAGTAATGATTCTTAAGCACTGCACTTCTACCCAATGATAACTATCTATCTACAAAGTTTCATGTTGATATTTCTTATAATTTTAGAGTAATGTCCCCGACAAAGTTCAAAGTGTCAAAGTGAACAAATTGCAATAACTTCAAAAGTAGGCAAGACAGTGTTACAGTTCTTGTGCACTGCAAACCTACTTTATGAGATCTATCTACCTACAAAGTTTCATGTTGATACCTCTTATAGTTTAAGAGTTATGTCCTGAACAAAGTTCAAAGTGTGAAAATAAACAAAGGGGAGTAATTAAAAAATAGGCAAGGCAGAGTTACGGTTCTTGTGCACTGCACACCTACTCAATGAGATCTATCTACCTACAAAGTTTCATGTTAATACCTGTTATAGTTTTAGAGCTATGTCCTGTACAAAGTTCAAAGTATAAAAATAAACAAAGGGAGATAATTCAAAAATTAGGCAAGGCAGAGTTACGGTTCTGTACACTGCACACCTCCCAAATGAGATCTATCTACCTACAAAGTTTTATGTTGATACCTTATATTTTAGAGTTATGTCCCGGACAAAGTTCAAAGTGTAAAATAAACAAAGGGGGATAATTAAAAAATTAGGCAAGGCAGAGTTACGGTTCTTGTGCACTGCACACCTACTCAATGAAATTTATCTACTTACAAAGTTTCATGTTGATACCTCTTGTTGTTTCAAAGTTATGTCCCGGACAAGAAAAGCGGACGGACGGACGTTCCAACATTTTGGGTTTAGGGGCTATTTTCTTTGTTATTTTCTTTGTTTTCTTAAGGGCTACTAGCCCATAAACCCTTTGATCACGGAATGAAACTATTGTTCTTTACTGTTACATAGCCCCTAAATCCAAAATGTTTGCTCGGAAAGACGGACGGACGGACAAGGCGGCGACTATATGCTCCCCCGAAATTTTTCGGGGAGCATAAAAAAGTGAAGGAAAATCCTATAGCTCTATAGCATAAATTCACAAATAAGCACGTTTTAACTTAACAAGAAAAATAATAAAACTGTTAAACATGTTTAAAAAAATAAAGAAAAATAAAGATATGGAAAAGTAAGTTAATTGTTGCAATTGTTAGATAATAGAAGGTAAGAAGTAAGAGACAGATTTGAGAGAAAGAAAAAGAAAGACAACAGGAAATTGTCACTATAATACTATGGAGTTGATGGAACGAGTTTATAATATACTTTTGAGAAGATATTATGCATCTAAATCTCTTTTTCATATAAGTCTAAATAATTACTTTCTATTACATTTCAAATCGTTTTGTTCTGTGTAAATATGAGCGTATATGAAGGACTATTGCTTCATTTAAATCGTCAGCAATTGAATTATCACAATAGAGTAAAACGTTAAGTGTGACAATTGTTATTTCGCTTAAATTGTTAAGGAGGACATTTCGTTCATCTTGGTACCTTGGACACGAGAAGAAATAATGAGATGTGTTTTCTATGTCGCCACATTCTCACATAGGAGATTTTCTATTATGTTTTTGAAATGTTCTTTGAGAGAACTACAATGTGTTCTAAGTCTTGTGTGTATAATCTGGTATTTTCTCACCTACATAATAGTGAGAAGGCACACTTTGGACATCTTCATTAAGTCTTCTTTTGAAAATTGAAATGGATGGTGAATTTCTGTAATTAACAGGAAGATTGTTCCAGTCTTTAATTGATGATGGCATAAATAGAAGATATTTGTTTGTTTGTGTGTAAGATGAAATTTTATTTCATCGAGTGGGCTTTAAAAACAGTATTCTCACGAGTGGCGTAGCCACATGTGAGAAAACTGTTTTTAAAGTTCACGAGATGAAATAAAATTACATCTTACACAACAAACAAACAAATTTTCTTTTTATTTTATGCTTAAAAACAAGTTAAAACGAAATTTCTTAAAATTTACGTAAATATTAAAATCTGTTTTCCCCATTTAGAGCCTAAAAAAAGTCGAATTTCTCATTAAATACAAGAAGTCATGGGCTGAAAAATAAGTTCCACAATCAACATTAAATGGTGGCGATAGTATTCATTTTATTAAAAAAATATGTCTGATCGCTTGTTTAAATAATAAAAACAAACAATTCTAGTAGGAGAAATAGTCCACCCATCCATCCATATTTCTGTTACTGACTGCGAATTTATATTAGACCTGGCTATGTTAAATGTAAGCGGCCGCCATTTTTAAAGTTGTGTATTTCACTGGATGAAAATAATTGTGTTTGATTCAGAGGGATATCATTTGGATTTTTAAAAGAAAGAAAACTTATTTGAGGATTGTAACAGACAATAAATAAGTGTTGACAGATGTGTAAACATTCAAAAAAGTGAATAGGAAATTGGAGAACTCGGAAGCCTTACGAACGCTGGGTTGTTTACATATTCTTCGACTGAAAGCTGCCAATGCTTTTCAAGTTTTCATGAAGCATACGGCAGTTATTGCTCGTAGGATACTTAAATATTCCCAAATGTCATCAAGAGCAGTTTTGCATGTGGAAGGAATGTATTTTTCAGACTGTAAAAATGAAACAAAAAATTAAAGAGACGATATTTGGTGATTGGTAACTTGAATGAATAGAAGTAACTTACTGTAAGTTTTCTTCTTTTTATTACTTGTGACATATAAGTTATTTATCAATTTCAGCTTTGCTTTTCTTTAAACAGCCTGACATTTTCGGATTTGTAAAGAAGAATTTGTTTGTGTTTGTAGCGTCTTACTTTAAGGGGTTGGATGCAAGTATCTTCATAAAGATTAGATATAGAAACTAGTTTGTTTTGTACCGGTTATTATTCTGCAGGCTTCAAGTTGGATTTTTTCAAGTTCAAATTCATCTTGTTGAGTTATATTGTCCCAAACAACATCCGAGTATTTCAGAAGGGGCCGAATGAAAGAGAGATATATAGTTTCCAGCGACTTTCGATCAAGAATGAATTTCAAAGATCTCATAATATAAATTCTGTGCCAGGCTTTTTTGGTCATATTTTGTATGTGTGAATGCCAATTTTCATCATTAGAAAATGTAACTCCAAGATGTTTGTGTGAGGTCACTTCATTTATTTGCACTCCGTTCATTGTCAATGGGAGATGAATTGGTTTGTTTACTTTACGAGAGATTATTACTGATTCCGTTTTACTTGAGTTGAAGTCTACAAGCCAACCATTTGCCCATTCTGTAATTTTTTTCATATCAGAATTAAGAGTCTCCGCAGCATGAAGTGGATTATCAACAATGATATATAAACTTGTATCGTCTGCAAAGAGTCTGATATATGAGTTTATGTCAAGAACAATGTCATTTATATAGATTAAAAAGAGAAGAGGGCCTAGAATGGACCCTTGAGGAACTCCGGCTGAAATAAAAACAGTTTGAGAGGAGCCGCCTGGAAGAACCACCTTTTGTTTTCTATCACTGAGATAGTCACTAAACCAATTTAAAAGCCCACCATTTATTCCAGCAGACTGAAGCTTGAAAATGAGACCTTTATGCCAGACACGATCAAAGGCTTTTGAAATATCGCAAAAGACAGCTCTCACTTCTTTACCATCATCAAGGGCTTTGCAAAATGTATTATATAAAGAAACAAGTTAATTGGTTGTTGAGTCATTGGGAACAAACACAGATTGTAATGAAGTTATTGTGTTATTAGCAACAAAGAAATTGAATATATGCTTATGTATAATTTTTTCTAAAGATTTGCTGATCGTGCAAAGAAGTGATATAGGTCTGTAATTAAAAACAATTGAGGGGTCACCTTTCTTGTAGACTGCACATACATTGGCAAGCTTCCATTGTGGAGGGACTTTACAAATTGTTAATGATTTTCTGAAAAGATGACAGAGAGGTACAGAGAGAGCTTCTGACAATTCCTTCAGTATCCTGTTGTTGATATTATCAGGTCCTGATGCTTTACCAACATTGAGAGTTTTAAGAGTATCACGTACCTCATCATAAGTTACATTTATTGTGTCAAGTTTATTAACATTTTGATGTACATGAAAGTTTGGTAAATACTTTTTTTATCATCAAGTGAGAATTATGATTGGAAAAATTGGTTAAGTAAATTTGCAGTTTCAGTGTCAGAAGTCAATATGGTGCCATTATCATTCAAAATCTTAATTTTACTATTTAATGTTTGTGTAATGAATTGTTTGAGAATTTTTTAGTAATCTGTTGTATTTAAATTTTGTCTCCTTTTATTTTTTCTGATAATTTTTAAAATAATCTGTTTTTGCATTTCTAAATAGGTGAGTTGTTTTGTTTCTTAATGTTTTGTATTTGTTCCAGTGTTCTATATCGTTTAATTTTTTAGCTCTGTCATATGCCCTTTTTCTTTTCTGTATATATTTTCTTATTTCATTATGCATCCCAGGAGGGTCCGTTTGTCTTATAGTTACTATTTTGTTTGGAATGTGTTTTTTAATAATGTAATCAAGGTTTAAGTAATATTTCTAGCATAAGTATCGATATCGTCACTCTCAATGGATTCCCAGTTATATGAAGCCGCTTCACGTCGCATATTATTAAAGTCACATTTATCGTTTTTCCAGATAAGACGTTTAAAAGATTTAGCATGTGACTTTTGGCAGTTAAGTACGCAATATACTTGACAATGATATTTTAGTTATTGTTCAAGAAATGAATCACCTACACCCGAACCATGGATACTACACGAAGAAGAAACAAGGAAAACGTCAATCAGAGAGGAAGATGATTCTGTGAAATGCGTTGGTTCGTTTATTATTTGTGTCATGTTGTATTGATTGGCTATATCTAGTAGTTTCTTGGATGATGCTGTCTTTAAGATAACGAAGTTGAGATCACCGGTGATTATTATATTCTTAATGCTTGTATCAAAGGCAATGTCAATTGATCGTTCAATATTGGAGAGAACTTATGCAGGAGAATTTGGAAGGCGATAGAAGGTGCCAACGAGAACTTTCGAATGATGAATCGTTAACTCTATCCAAATACATTCAATACCACTAATCTCGAGATCTTGTCTTCTTACGGCTGGAATGCTATTTTTAACGTATACTAAAATGCCACCATGGTTATCAGCAACTCTGTCCTTTCTAAATGGAGTAGAAAATGTTTCAAAAGAGATCGATTCCGAGTCTTTATTGCTGTTAAGTCATGTTTCTGTGACGGAAATTATATCAAAATGTTGTAGTTCTCCTTGTAAGATATCTTTCTTTGAGAAGAAACTCTGGGCATTATAATGAACTAAGGAGTTTTTGAAACTCTCTAAGATATCGTTTATCGTTGAAGAGGCATAATTTAAAGAGTCTGAGCTATTTAGATCGGGACCGGGATTTTTGTGAATATCTCCTGCTCTATATAAAAGAAAATAAACCCAGAGTTTGAAAAAATAAATAAAAATATCTTCTCGGATATTTGATAACAAATTAAAACCGAACCTCACCCTGGATATATACATGTTTAGGGACATTATGTAACACCAGGGTTGTAATTATTTCTGGGTGAGGAAATCAATAGAAAAAGTGACACAAGAAGAAGAGAGAAAGGAAGGAAGAAGAGGTACATGATAAATAAATCAGATTGGAAAAATATGAAATAGGAATATGCATGTACATAGTCCTATTGTTAAGAGTGACCACACGACAGTTATTTAATTGCTATTTAATTGTAGATTAGATGACACTTTATTTTAAGTTTAATGTCATGCCGACAGACAATGTTGACAGTTGAAGATGTGCTGGCTATATTTTAAAACGTGTAAATAAAAGTATGACACTTCATCATGTAAAGACTATACATTATTATGGTCAACATTAGCCGCATGAGTAGTTTCGAGTAGTTACATTTAACAGAATAATGTAATCAATCGAAAATATACGGAATTCCATAAACGACAGCCTACTGTTTACTGTCAACTGCCTACTGTCAACTGCTTACTGTCAACTGCCTACTGTCAACTGCTAACCTTCAACTGCTTAATGCTTACAGCGACTGTTTATTGATAAATGCCAACTGTTACACCTGTCAAATGCCCGATTAATTGCCTGAAAGTAAATGTTGGCTTTTTACGTACTTCTTCCAATGTGTTTATATGTCAAGGAATTACTCTGTATCATTTATGAAATAGAGAGAAATAAGAATCCCTAAAGAAAGCCCAATAAGGCAAAAATGAAAATGTTGCAGGCTCGGTTTGATTGAGTCTGTTCATGGACGGTACTGTCAAGTGCAAACTACCGTCCACGCCCTCTAGCACCGGCTTAAGAAGACTTTAAAGACTATATATGAAGACTATATATACCATATGAAGACTTTGACTGAAACCTTGGAACTCGTTACATTTATACATGTACATGTATAATTCTCGTTTTATTAAGCAGAAAAAATAAGTATATATCTTTGCAGGCATCTGGAACTATTCCAAATCATAGACCTTTAAACTTTATTTATATCATAGTTTGAGGACCTTTCTGTTGAAAATGTGTCAGAGTTAAATCGTATACATATACATGCACAGTGAGTTAACTGAGTGCAGATATATGTTACCCACACTCCAGAGCAAATTTTTTCTGTCATTAAATCTTGTTCGGTAATTTTGTGCTACCAACTATAACTGCTTGCTTAATGATCTATACATGTATATCCCTGTTCAAGCTTGTAAAAGACAGTCATTTAGATACATATACCATATAACATGTATATTATAATATTTGTTCATTAAATGATATTGACCCTACCCTATAACTATATAGCTTAATGACAGCCTTGTTATGTCGTGAACGTCGTTGTTTTTACATTTAAACTTCAACGGTCAGTTTATGTTCGCATTTTGAAAATAATGCTATGGTTTGTTCAAAAAAAATCTAGATAATGGTGCCCAAAACATAGATATATAGATTTTCAGACAAAATTATATAATCCAGTCACGTTTCGGATTACCAGTAGTTTATTCACGTACTGTGAGAGTATACACACTTCATAGTCCAAATCATACATGGAACCGTTTAGTTTTATCTAAAAAATGTTAATACATGTTCTGGTGATTGTAGACCGTACATTTATACCTTAATTCTACAAAGCCTTAGATTTGACTCAAGAAATGTTACTTTAGTTGATGTTTAAAAAATTATTCAACAGAAGCATGTTGACTTACATGTCAATTATTGTGTTATAATTGGAAAGTCGATGCATAATAAAATCATTGAAAGATCTTTGAGTTACGTGGGCATTATTATTTAATACAAAGGAATGCTAGTATTTGTTTAACGATATAATGAACTGCGGTATCCTAAATTTGAGTCAATGTAATGCCTTCCGCATGTATTTTTTTAGTTTTTGCAGTATTGCCTGTGTTACCATCTCTTTTTTATAACTTATGAACCACAGGATAGAAAACAGATTAATCAATTTATTGCTGTACGGCCGACTTTTCATTTCATTGTCATAAGAAAAGAGTGTTTAGGTTAACTTGTAAAGCTGTTTTGAAGAAAAATATTTAGTTAACTTGCCAGATATTGGAGCTTCAGATGTATTTCTTATGGAACTAATAACATAACGTAATCTTCATCTTCCTAATACATACTTTTCGCGATCCTATACATTTAAAATTGATGGACTAAGACACTATTTAAATGTGGACAATGTTGAATATTGTTTTTTTCCAACTTGGTCATGTTACAACATTCAACACGTACACAATTTTTGCTTTATGGTAAACATATATATAACCAATTTCAATTTTATTTTGTCATAATTTTGTTTTCTGGGGAGCTAAACATGAACAAAATTACAAGAAAATTATGATATTTTATTTTTATAGAACTTTTTTATTTACAAGTAAAACGAAAAACAAAATACATTTATTGATTATAACACCACACAATAAGTATGTTTTAGTCGCAATAATGAGACCAGTTAGCTAATACTTTCTTGTATACACATTTATTTAAAAATAAAAATTATGACACGCCTGTAAAAAAAATCAAAATCTATATAAAATGTTTGTAAAGTAGTTCAGGGAAAGTAATTAATATAAAAGCAGAATTATAATTAAAAGTTCTGTTATGAATTATATAATTGTTATGAGATTATATTAATTTAAATATACTCTGCAATATAAAGTGATATACACGTTGTAAGAAAGGTAATCTAAAAATGCTTCATATTATACCATAGAAGCTCTACACCATCACGATGTCTTAGAATGTTTACCTTAGTTGTCAAACCTCTAGAACCCAGATACAAATAGTAATGACTTTCATTGGATGATTCTGGCAAATACGAAGGCAGATTTGCTCATTGGTTTTACTTGCGGTAATTGCAAAAAGAAATAGAAAAAAATAACCAACCTAAAAGTTCACTTTTAAGTGTGTTTGTTAACAAGATAATTATAAAAATTATATAAAAGATGGATTTTAAACAAACACGTCAAAAATATATTGTAACATTATCATGATCATTTGGTCTATCAGAAATTTTTAAGTAATACAAATTGTATCTAATTATGTCAATTTCACAGGGTTTTGTGAAAGATACCGTCTGGAACACGATCACTGCGGACCGCTCGAACAGGCAAACGGAAACTGTGGATGTGGCCCAGGACTGTCGTGCAAGTTTGTTCCAGCGGAAGTAGCCACAGCTCAACCATTGGTAGTCAGTAAGAAACGAAAAATTTGGGTGCCTGTGCCCGGCTCGTTTCAGTGTAAACCAAATGCATAATTTATGAATTTTACAGTTGTAAACTTTATATAAAATAAACATTTACAGGTGTCCACTTTTTGTAGTGCACTAATATGAATGTTGTTACCTTTACT